CCCGCGTTGTGTTCCAGAAGCTTCTTGGCGATCAGAGGGTAGCAGACAATGATAATGACCAACGGGATGAAGAAACCGACGACCGCGGCCGCGATGCTGATCCCCGAGATGTGCCCGCTCCAGGTGTCCATGGAGAAATTCTCCAGGCAGGCCCTCTTGCCGTTGGGGAATTGGTTAGTCAGGGGCTGCCCAATCGTCAGGTACAGGAGGCTGGCGATCAGAAGCAGCCAGATGAGGCAGCACGTTGCCACACTGTAGCGTGTCCTGCGCAGCCAAATCGAATGAATGGGATAGACGACGGCAATGTAGCGGTCCACGCAGATGCAGGTGAGGAAGAGCGTGCTGCCATACATGTTGGCGAAGAAGAGGGAGCCGGTGATTTTGCATGCTACCTCGCCGAAGATCCAGTCGTTCTCCAGGGCGTGATAGGCCACTTTGAACGGGAGCAGGGCAGCGAAGATGAGGTCGATGGTGGCCAAGTTGATCATGAAGACGTCGGAGGGTGAGAATGAGCCCTTCTTCCTGAAGAGGTACCAGAGGACGCACAGGTTGGACACAGTGCCAAAGGCAAACACCAGGCTGTACACCACGGGAAACAGGAGGTACTGGAAGTCGGCGTTGAACTGGCACATATTTGTGTTGTTGGTGAGGTTGGCACTGCCTGTGGAATTGGTTGGCGGTGACGTGTATGATGCCCATCCCAGGGACCAGTCGCTCTGGGTAACAGTGAAGCCAGCTTCAGCTGTCATTACTGCTGGATTGCCCATGCTTCATAGGATCTGAAATTGTAACAACATTCAGCACAGGTTGCTCAGAGAGTATGGCTTTACATTTGACTCTACCAAAACACAAAATTTCCTACAGTCAGGCCATTCACCCCATTGACTCTGCACTGACCCTCCAAAGAGCATCCCACCCTGACCCAGTCCCCGAAACTATCCCCGTAACCCCAAACTACTTGATACTATTTGCCTGAATGTTTGTATCGCACACTTTATTTTACAATGTTCATATTGAAGGATTGTCTCTCAATTGGAGTTCAATTAGTCCCTTCCCAAAATAATTAAATAACAATCCTTGATGTTCAAGGCAGGATTTGCTGCAGAGTTGCGAAAGATCTGTTGAGTGAACAGGCCATTTCAAACGCATACGAATAAATGTCCGCAGGACACTTTACCCAGAGCCTAATACTAATCTAGGATGTGTTCCTTAAAGATGTTTCAGTGCTGTGGCTCAATGGCATATATGTTCAGAAATGTTATTACACACCTTTGGAGTAGATGAGACTTAAACCATGGGTCTCCTGGTTCAGAGGTAGCGACACTACCAGTGTACCACAGTAGTACCATGGGGTGGTGGGGGTATCAACAAGAGATTTGGAGATTGAGATGAGTTGGATAACAGCACTGAAGAAAGGATGGCTGTAGGATGTTTTCTTCGTCATGCTTGCTCAGAATACCAAGGTACAGAAGTATTTCCTACTTTTAAACAGTTTCATCAGAACAGTCCTTGTTGCTAACGGCAAACTATAATGGGGGGGCGGGGAAACAATTGTCTTGTGGTATTAAAGCTAAGCTTTTAGACCAGTCACCAGACAATGGGAAGGATCTGATTGCACTGGAGAGGAGATTCGCCAGGATGTGGGATGGGATCGGAACGTCTCAGTTATGAGGAGGAGGCGGGATGGGCTGGATTGGTTTTCCCTGGAGCAGAAGAGGCTAAGGGAGGATCTGATTGAGGTACACAAAATTCCAAGAAGCACAGGGGGAGTAAATTGCAGCAGATGCGTCTGAGACCAGAGGGCATAGGAGCGAATGGTTAAGAGAGAATCTGAGAATTTTTTCTCTCCCGCTAAGAGAAATATGGGAACCTGCTGCCTGAAAGGATGGTGGAAAATCCAGGGTGGGGGTTGGGAGGGAAAGAGAGTGGGGCAATCACCACTGGAAATACTGGAAGCCCACTCTCCTCCACAAGAATGCCTTCCAGCCCACTCTCCTTCATTTCAATCGGGACCATGAAGGCGAACTGATGGTGTGACAGTCATGTGCTGGGGAAGGGGAAGGCTAAGGTGGAGGTAAGGGAGGTTTCCTGAGGAAGGCAGTGACAGCACCTCCTCATCTGTTTGGAACACAGTGTACAGGGAGCTTTACTCTATATTTGACCAATTTATGC